CAGGCACCGGGAACTGCGACGGAAAAGCGAGCGCGTTAGCCAATGTCGTTCTGATCTCCGAGAGCGGGGGTGTCCGGGGTAAGAGGTGAGGGTGGATATAGTTACATACCGAGGCCGTCGCGAATCTGGTCGTCGCGTAGGAACTGGATCGCTTCATCGCAGTTAGACAGAGTATCCCAGGCATCGGAATCATCGCTGTCCGACTCCAAATCAGACGAGATCTCAAGTGCAAGGTCCGGCGCGTCGTCCTCCATATCGTACTGTTCCCCCATATCCACGGCCTCCACTTCGACCACGGTGGTCTTTACTGAAGCCTCTCCTTTTGGGGCTGGTACCAAATCCATTTTGCAGGAGTTTGAGATGCCAGCCACGGAGACAAACTCGTTTTCACTCGCGCTTGAAATCTGCTCTGACAAAAATTCGGGCATCTGCTTCACCGGAGGCAACTTAATCCGGAACCGATGAATGAATTGCAGTGGCGATATTGAAGAAGTTTTGGTTTGTGAGTTCAGGGGGTTGACAATGAAAGAGAGAGTTGGGGAAAAATGAAAGAAACTACTTCTAATGGTATCAAATCAAACAAATCAATGAACATGTACATCATATCATGTGGTCGTCACTTTTGGTATCTATGAATCCGCCATCTCATCGTCGGAGTCAACTTCGATCTCCACATCCGAATCCTCGCCTTCTCCCTCTGCTTCGGCTTCACTCTCATCATCCTCTCCAATTTCTTTGTTGATTTCCTGTACAAGCTCCAAGGCATGATCGCGGAGCCGGTCATCCTCGTACTGGAGGACATCGTATAGTTTCAAGCTTTGCTTGAGCCATTCACGACTAGCATCCAATGATGCATGGCGTGGGGACTCGGTAAGCTCATCAGCGGTCGCATCCTTGGGTGCCTGTTGCTTTTCTGCCAGCAGGAAGAGACACCAGCCTCCGAGGTACCAGGCCTCTACACTTTGATCATCCTCTAGAATCAAGCGCTCGAGGACTTCCAGAGCCTCGAACTCCATATTCACTTCCATCAGGAGTCGCGCAAGACTGATGCGCACCGCAAAATCGGGGATTCTGAGATCTTCTGGGGCCAGGTCCTTCCAGAAGCTCATACTGCGAGTGAGCGCGGCTTGCGCATCCTCGGTACGCAGTTGTGAAATCCGGATCGAGGCGAGGGTTTGTAGTACCTCTGGCGCTTCGGGTGTGACAAGGAGGGCTTCTGTGATGAGTGCTTCACACCGAGCTTCGGCATCCTCTTCCCAGCTAAGCGAATATGTTAGTGTTGACCCACATAAAATCTAGAGTATAGGTGAACTCACGAAAGATCTGTCATGTAGGTTTCAGCGACGGCGCAGAGCGCGTTAGACATCTTGGTCTTCTTCTGTGTAATATCGGCGATCTGTTCCGGCGATGTTTTGCCCTCCAGAGACTGAATAGTCTGTCTGAGAGACGCTACACCCATCTCGAACCACAGGACGCTGTCCTTTCCACCTTGCTCACTCAATTGTGCAAGCCATAGGAACTTCTCAGCACCTCCACCCTGGGATTCCGGTATCGAGCCATTTTGATCGAGTTGAACCGCTTGAAGGAAGCAGTTTCTAGCGGTGTCGATGTCTCCTAGTTCAACATTGATTTCTCCAAGCAGGTTAATAGCGGGGAGCTGTGCAGTGGTGTTTTCAGCGGTCAAATCCAGAGCCTGCTGTGCAACCACGAGTGCCTCATCGGCTCGACCAGTTTGTAGGAGAATTGTAGCTTGGTCGAGTAACGTCGAGGGATCTTGAGCCATGTTGCCTTTCGAGATCGAGCCACCAGGGCCGAGGACGGACTTTTCGCGGGGCTTGGATGACTTCTTCTTTTGCGGTCTGGGCTTTCCCATGGCAGGATGTAGGGAAATTCAATAAACAAAAAGCGTTATGTCGTCAACTGGAATATAAAGCAGGGTGATTGACAAGTGTAACCCACAGGGTATCTGGGGGAAGTAAAAAAAAGTGAACCTCCACCAAAATTTTGAAGCGGTTGTTTGACGGGTTTGCATGTGGGACCGCAATATTGTTCAGGTTTCCCTGGTCGTCCGATTTATGCTTCTTACCGCCTTCACCATCTTCATCATCCAACAGTCCATTACACCATTCCTGGTGGCTTTTATAGCTAATGACTCTAAATCACCCTTTTAACTGTAAACTCGAGAGGCAAAAGTATCCCACAAAGACATCTAAAAAGACTCTAGAAAGAACATCCAAGAAAAGACATCAAAATGTCATCTTTTATATATATATGTGTTAGTCCGTACTATTATTCCCATTGCTGGCGGTACTTTGTAGTTAATTATTATATCAGCTATACTGAAAAAAGCCATGGAAACTGCTGCAGCCTAGAGCTATATCGTCACATAGGTAGGGAAGTGACCTCGGGAGCTCCAGGGCTAGAGCTTCCACTTAGACAGATCTACTTCATTCCTATGATTAGGGGAAATAGCGAGGCCCCACCGCTTCCAAATCATACATATATGCTCTCCATCGTCGTCTCGTTCTTCCTTATCCTCATCGCGGGATCTTGCCTTGCAAGCATCTCTAAAGTCAACAAAGTACCTACTTCAATAATCAGCCACCCATAATGCTATAATCACGGTTAGGAATGCTCACAATTCTGAGGCATCGGGGTTCCAGATCAAGTTAGTTGCCCAGGGACAGGAGGGCATCCATCCCAGCCTATTCAGCTTGCGGTACTCCTTATCAAACACCATTCGAATCTGATCTCGCTCGGGCTTGCTGAAAGCTTGAAAGAACGTATGAAGCGTGGATCTCCATCCAGGAAGAACAGTATCATCAGCGAGACGAACCCCAGGGATATGTTGGAATACAATATAGATAACTTAGCCCCCCGGGACAAACCCTTGTTTATCCTGGATATCCTCATTGATCGCAAGTAGAGCAGGCGTAATAGTCGAATTTTGTTCGTAGAAAGCCTTTATAGCTTCGACCTCGCAAGGGCAAACGAGGGTCCAAACCCATCTTTAACATCTTTTTCGTTGAGCTTGGCGATGATAGTCCATTCGGTGTGCTTGGGCTTCTCAAAGGTGATATGCTCGCCCGGCGTGGGGAAAAAACCAATTTGAGTCATGGTATCTATGATGCGAGAGCGCCTAGAGGGAAATAAAGGAGGGGAGAGAGTGATAGAGATGAAATTGCACAAGAGTGACATTAGTGCCTGCCTGAGAGGCTTCATGCCGACAACCATGGTCAGGCATATTATACAGTTTCTATCGTTGGCCGTTTATGTGGCCTTGTGACGTCTTTTTAGAAGTCTTTTTTTTCCCTCCTGATTTTTTGCTCCCCTTCTTGGTTTCATAGATAGATAGCAGAAAAAAAGGTGGAAAAAGGCTGTGTGAACTCTTAGATAGCTAGCTTGGGGGTGAATTAGGGTTGAAGCCGGCGAGGACGACGGCCAATTGAGAAATTCACGTGACCCGGCTTGGCTCCGACGTTTGTTGCGTTGACTTGGTTGCGCTCCGATCTTTTTTTTCAAGTTGGTAAATATTGCGATATCTCACAGTCCTGCTTAGACAGCCTTTCAATCCGTCCCGCTAGAAACGCTCTCGTCCCCCCCACGAGGTGTCTCCCGAAGAATCTGCACCTCCGGCGCTCAAATCATTACCCCTCCAATCCGCGGGCGGATCAACAGTTATGGGTCGCGAAGACCAGATTGAGGAGCGTGAAGTGCTCGATTCTATCTTCCCTGACGAAATTACCGGTATGTAACACGCAAGTCATCTAGACGGCTTCAACTCCCTCTTTATCCTTGCTTACAGCGAGTCCCGCACCTAGACATATCCGAAACCTCGTACCGTGTATCCATACCTCTCGATGCTCTCGAATATGACGGCGATGAAACAGAACAACCTGTGATATGCCTGGAAGTCGCCTACCCAGAAGACTACCCGGATGTTGGCCCGAATCTCAGCATTTCATCTCCACCCAACGCTGTGAAGCATCCTCGGCTAGATATCCAGGAAGACCGGGACCTACTGATGGAGTCTCTCCAGCCTACCATCGAAGAGAACCTGGGAATGCCGATGATATTCACACTGGTCAGTGCACTTAAGGAAAGCGCAGAGCAGCTTATGATCGAGCGAGCAGACGCCATTCAAGCTGAGATGGACCAAGTCGCTGCGAAGAGAGAAGAGGAAGAGAACCGAAAATTCAATGGCACAGCAGTCACTGTTCAGTCATTCTTGGAGTGGCATGCCAAGTTTAAAAAGGAGATGGAGGATGAGGAGCTTCGGGTACGCGAAGAAAAAGAATCGGAGGACAAGAAGAAAAAGACCACAAAGGAGGAGAAAAAGCTCACAGGCCGACAATTGTGGGAGAGAGGCTTGGCCAAGGGTGATTATGACGAGGAAGAAGAGGATGCCTTGCCCGCAATTGAGAAGCTCAAAGTGGCTGCATGAACTGATACATAGAAATGTTAATGACCTGCCATTACTTCATGAAATTATGTATTATAACCTTGATGAATTGGTGTGATTATACTGAACGATCAATGAAGTGGTATCAAGGGTAAGCAGAGGAATATACAGATCTGAAAGCCCACGTGGACATAGGTAATGGTACAGGGAAAGAGAATTTCCAATCAGTAGACAAAAAAGGTCCGAAGGAGAGTTTTTGTCTTGGTTTGAGCTGCTTGCTGGAACCCAGAGACTTCAAAATGCTAGCAGTTCATGATGCCCATTGATCGGATATGATCAAGAAAGGGCATACCTGTCTAGGTTGGCATGGATGATGTAGCATGCCTTTTGAGCACTTTCAGTAACCGACCTTTTTATTCTGATCTCGGGTAGCCATGACAATGGCATAGCCCTGGACGTAGATGGCTCTAAGGTGGCTAGACATGGACCTAGGCCACAACGGCCATACCGCTTGACCAACATCCGCCTGCCCGAAGAGCCAGAGGAATGTATTTTGGGATGGCAACGAGACATGCCCGGCAAGGCGGACCACTCAATTTCATTGCTTTGGCTGTTTTGGCTGCTTTTGGCTAGCTTCTTCTTCTGCTAAAGCCCTTTCAGCTAGAACAATCTTCCACATGTTATCTGCAAGCTCTTTGGCATGCATGTCGAAGTGACCGATTTTTGCATTGACATCCGCAATGGCATTTTTGGGATGCTCAGACCAGGTGGATGGCTCCTTAGTATTTGTGATGTGATCCCACTCCTCTTCGTCCTTGGCGAAAAGTAGTTCAATTTTCAGCCTGTCTCGACGTTCAATCCAATTCCAACGACGCCCGAGTTTTGTTCGTATCACACTACTGACATTTCTCGGCTGCGGCTTTTTATAGCGCAAGAACGGAATTCCACGTGCATTGACAAGTACAGGGACATTGCGTTTCTTGTCACCCAACGGCTGGGGTCGGTTCAAGATCGAGGTGGCGTTCGGATGTCGCTGGTTTGTTTCCTCTTGGAAGCGAATTGACTTTTCTTTTCGGGCTTTCTTGGCTGTAAGGGGTTTGGCAGGCGGCGCTACTGGCCGAATTTTCCTTTGCATCGCAGCATATTTATCTTTCTGTGACTTGGCTTGGGCTATGAGAGTTGTAATCCGCTGAGAATCACGCCGATTGGTATGGGCAGAAGAGAGAAGATCTAGAGCCTGTCATAGTGCGACGAAATATCAACATAAGCTCAACCTAGACCAAGATTCGACGCACATACCTCATAGCCTGCCTTCAAGGCATTTGCTGTTTGTGACGGGCTTTGTAATTTTTTATATTTTTGGAAATTCTGTTGAACGAGGGGTTTGGTCTCGCCCAGCCACGGAGTGTCTGTAGTAGTTGAAGGACGGCATTGTCGGAGAAGTGCTCGATAAAGTGCCAAACCTATCAGAGACAGATTGTCAGTTGGAATAGCTAGAAGCGAAGGGAGTCATCTCTCACACGCAAAACGGTGAGCTCCATTATACTTGGGCACCAGCACTTTATGCATTCTGCTGTCTTGAATAGTTCTACCAATACTGCCGTGAAGCCAAAGCCAAACAACGATATGTCTTATCTCATTTCTATCGCACACCGCCGGTTGACCGCCTACTGTAAATGAACTCCAGGGCTGTACTGCATTACGTCAATGCGATCGGTATCCCAATTCGGTTAGCGGATTTTAAAAGGTCACATGACTGAAAACACCTATATATACCCGCTCACGCCCCCCGGTTTTAATCTTTTTTCTTTCTTCTTCAGCTCTCTTTGCCTATTGGCTTAGATCAAGTGTAGTATCTGTTCTTTTCAGTTTAATCTCTGAAAGTTTCCGTCCAGGAAACACTTTGATTATTCCTATTTTTGGATCCCGCGACTTGGCCCCTGTGCTTGCGCATGCCTCGTTGCACAGTGTCATTGGGCTTACACTACCCCCGATCGACGCGAACTCCTTTTTCATCAACTGTTCGGCTTGTCCGGGTGCTTGGAGAAGAAGCTCCACTTCAGATCTAGAGATATCAACCGTGTACCCTTATCAATGTATCACGCAGCCTTGTCCACCTATGTCCGGCTGTCTTTCACGTCGCGTCCCTTTTTGGTTCTTGCTTGGTCTTGTCCTGACTTCCTTTTTGGACGGCCTTGATGCCCTGGGTGGGTTTGACCTCTTTTTGACCTCTCCGAAGGGCTGGTCCCCTTCATTTCCATCCCTTGTCCCTGTGTTTGGGCTAATGTCATGACTCTCAGGCTGCTGAATGCTTCACAGCTAGAATTTGCGCATGGAGGTACAATCATGGGCTAAGCGAATCATTCAATGTTGTCACTCAATATAATTGATTTTATTGTTATTGGTAAACAGGCGCCTGCCGCAATGCCCAGTTCCACGAAACAAAACACTTTAGAGATGAATACCTAACGTAGGGATGAAAATTGAAAGTTGGGGCTCAAAAGAACCCCTGCCGATGCTTTCATGCAGAGACTGTACACGCTCTAGAGTCATAGAAAAAGAGAAGAAGCCAGGAAATTTAAATGAAGCCGACCCTGATACTCCGATATCCGCCTGCACTGAGTGGGTCACATATGCTGGACTAGAAAGTCGAGCCCTCCGGGGGCTGCGGCAGCTTCTTATGCTGGGGCAAGGCCATGTACCTGGACAAAGCGTCAACACCAACCGTCAATATTGTGCCATTCTTTGTGCTCACCTTCTCAACTCAATCAGAACTGTCTCCATGGTGTTGTCTCGTTTCCACTGTGCAAGGGTTGGAAGCTTTGTCGGATCAACCTGTAGTACAATCACTCAGTAATGGTTTCGTGTGTTGGCACCCACTCTTCTCATACCTTGCCAGAGCTGGGATCAACACAGGGGATGTTGACTCGAGAGACGAATTGAATGGTAGGCGGGTTGTCGGGGTAGTCGGGTCCGCAGTGAATGTTCACACTGTATATCCGGTTTTCATGAACGCTCTGAAAGATGGCAGATTAGCGATGGTTTCATGGTGGCGTGGAGTAGAGTCAGAAACTAACGTGAGGCGGACCCAGAATAGTTCCATTCCAGTTGCTCATCATCATATCCTCCCCATCAGCAAGTCCGTATGAGCAGGCATCTAAGAATAAGAAAGATACGTCAGCGATCTAAGATCGGACATCGTCGGAGATCGTAGGAGTCAATCGTACCTGCACTTAGACCCTTCTCGCCCTTCTCGAGCTCCTCCAGGAGTCGAAAGTTTCTTGGGACTCTGGCAGCCATGTTGAGCACCGAGTAGTGGTTTCAAAGGCTGGCAATATCACGACAAGTGTGAACAGATGCCAAAGAGGGATGATGCGACAAGAGGGGCAATGCGCTGGGCGGTCAAGTTGGAGCACAGTCACGTGCGATACGGCTTATCGATGGCTTGGCACCTGTTGGAGATGCCACGCCTTGTTGATCCCATCGTGGAATCGTTGTAATAGCAGAATCGCTGTCATTGTTCTCTTGCTGCTTACATGAACTTGGTATCAGGGCTCTGATTTTGCAAATAGTCTGGCGTGGAAACACCGATTCATTCATCTGCGATCGAGAGCTCCCCGTACTGTTGACATCGGGACCTCGGGCAATAGCCTGTGCTGGCCATGCTTTGATATAACAAATCTATATCAGAAATGTCCTCCCAATTCCTGCAGACGGAGATCGCCAATTTGATTCATGAGTCTCGGAGGAAAAACTCCGATTTGCGAAATGTTGGTTATCACTCTCTCTAGGCATCAATGGCCATGGCACACTAACGAGGAATTGACAGGCCGCTGAACAATCGTTAAATGAGCTCAAAGCACTGCCTTCAACTTCAGAGGCTCAGATAGCAGCAGGTAAGTTCTTCCATGACAGCCCTTCATTAGTTCCCCACCGCTAAATCGCCATTAGACCTTGTTCGCAAACCGAATTTCGTCGAGCCATTCATCATTGCATGTTATACTCGGCATGCGAAGCTTGCCGGTATTGGTGTGATCTGTTTACAGAGACTAATTGCTTCTCGGTCATTACCCTCGAGTCGTTTGAAAGACGTCCTCGGGGGCCTCAAGGAGACTACGAGCTTAAGTAAATGATCAAACAAACCAACACCTTTAAATTGCGCTGACGATTTCTAGGCCTTGATATTCAGCTGAAAATTTTACAGTCTCTGCCTTCGCTTTTGCAGTACTATTCCAATGAATTGAGCGGGGAGCTTCTTGCGAACACGTTGGAAATATGCGCCACGTTACAGGCAAGCAAAATGATTGCAGTCTCTAGTACTGCCGCCGCTACTCTGCAACAGCTGGTGGTATCGACATTTGAAAGAGTTTCGAGCGAAGACAATCTTCCTAAGGAGGCCAAGATCACCACAACCATCAAAGTCGATGGCCAGTCGCTCGATATCGGCTACTTCGCCTATGATGCACTGCAAGTATTGGATGATCTTTGTCGTCTGATCGATGGTGAGCCACTGCAGTTTCTGCGAACACGAACCCTATCCCCGACTTTTGTGCTCGAACTTATTGAGAGTATTCTCCTGAGCAGCGGCCGTCTTTTTGTGGGACATCCCGAACTTTCCCAAGTGCTGCGCGTTCGGTTGTTACCACTAGCCGTCCGTTGTCTATCTGAGAGGTATTCGTTCGCCCAAACTGTCCGAGTCGCTCGAATTCTTCTCATACTTCTGAAGCGCCATATGTCTCTCTTGACTACAGAATGCGAGATGGCATTGAGTTTGATAACCCATCTGGTTGAACCGGATGGGACAGCACCTTGGAAGCGATTAATCTGTATGGAAATTTTCCGAGGGCTATACTCGGAGCCGGGTGCTGTACGGCTGATATACACTTTGTATGACGGCGAGGAAAGCAGAAAGAACATCCTCCGTGACCACATGGCTGCGCTTGTTCGGCTAGCTTCAGAGAAGCCTTCTTTGATTGGCGTCAGCAATCAATCAACAGTACCTTCACGAGCGGAGCACTCAATATCCACTACAGAAGATCAAATAACTCTTGAAACCGGCGGTGTTGCTGGTGTCATTGGGTCAACTGTTCCTCCAAGTGAAACCAAGGTACCTGGAATCAGCACTCAATGGAGTGTTGTTCGTACGCCATACATCGACCTCCTCGACAAGACAGATCCGCCCACACCGCCGGACACTTACATTTACAGCCTCGTTCTTAATTGTATCAGCAGCTTTGCTGAAGGGCTTGCGAAATTTATTCTTCCATTGACGGTCCCGGATCTAAAGCAAAGACGCAAGAATCGACTTATGAGCCCCATTCAGGGACCCGACTCCGCCAGATCTTCTCAAGATTTCACAGCAGAGCCCATCCGAGTACAGTCCGGCTCGTTGTCGAAAAAATCACATGTTCCCATCAATCCTCTGGACCTGCAGTCTCATGTACAGTATTCCGCCATCAAGACTTGTGCGGGGATAATAGAGAACTGTTGGCCCGCTGTCCTAGCAACTTGTTCGACCTTTTTGCGCGCATCCTTGGATGATGAGTATTACCACAATCTCGTTCGAGCATTCCAAAAGTTAGCTCATGTGGCGGGTCTACTGAGATTGGCTGTTCCCCGAGATGCTTTCTTAACAACTCTTGGGAAGGCTGCTACGCCTGCGAGTGCGGTTGGTGCCAAGTCACATAATGTGCCTGCCACTGGCTCTCAGCAAAGTGACACGCCCCAAAAGAAACGGAGAAGTGCGGATCTGTCACATTTGTCCAGTTCTTTATCAATGGAGTCTGCAGGAACTACTGCGGGGGAAGGGCCTCCCGTGTCTTTAAGCACAAGGAACCTACTTTGTATGCGGGCTTTGCTCAACCTCGGAATTGCTTTGGGGCCGACATTGGATCAGCCAGCCTGGTCCATTCTGTTTGAAACTCTTCAATATACTGGACTGGTGATTGGCATGTCCTCGAGTGCAATGGTCAAATCGGCTAGTGGGACTGGGGAGACTCCAGTCACCCCAGGAAACGATGTTCCCACTGCTAATCTTGGGACTGAGGTGATTGCGGTTCAAGCGGCCTCTAACAAATTGCTCGAAAGCACCAGCGATTTCCCAAGTGCATCTTTTGAGGAAATATTACTTGCCTTGTTGAATCTGTCAGAATTTACAGAGCAACGTCCCAACCAAGGTGATGCCCAGGAAGTATCAGAAATGCCTCGAACACCGCAACCCTCCCAAGCAAGTGGACGATTGCACCAAGGTTCCCGGCGCGTATCGCATACCGTCGGAAAATCAAGAATGCAAGACGAGGAACTCAAATTTGTATTGGAGAAAGCGAACGAACTAGCCAAAGCAAACCTTGGAAGACTGTCTTCGCTCGAAGAAGACGACATCAAAGTATGGGAGCTACTGACCCAAAGTCTCATCTCGGCTTCCGCAAATACTACCGTCAGTCCGAATCTCCGCCTGCAGGCAAGCGCAATTTTGAATTCACTCGTATTCTCAACAATGAAACAAAGGGACGAAGACGACGAGAGAGTCTACAATCAAGTGCAGACGAGGAATTTGCAGACATTGAAAGCCCAGGTCACCTCGCTCTATGCATCGGACATGCACACCTCCAAGTCTTTACCGATAACCGTGATTGAAATCCACGAACAGACCTTGGAAGTCTTGAACAATATTCTGGAGCAGTACGCAGAAACTTTCGTGGACGGATGGCATCTCATCTTTGATTTAATATCTGGTGTCTTCCAATTTGCCCTAGATCCTGGAACTGGCGATCGGCCTTCCACTATAATAGAGCGCAGATCATCGGCCCTTCCAGCAGGCCCTCGCCTGGTACGTGCTGCGTATAAGTCTTTGCACCTTGTCGCATCCGACTTCCTTTCTCTGCTGCCAGCGCCCTGCCTCTTGAGCTTGGTGAATGCCTTCTCTAGCTTTACTTCGCAAATCCAAGATTTCAACATCTCCCTTACCACGACTTCGTTTTTCTGGAACGTTTCCGACTTTCTCCAGGGCCAGATTGAACAGATCTCACTAGGCCATGTTGATGCATCCGTCAGCGAAGAAGAGCTAGCTAAATTGGCTCATGACGAAGACTCTTCTGTTTCCCGGAACTCGTTGTGGCTGCTGCTGTTGCTTCGCATCGTTGATATCACGACAGATAGTCGACCTGAGATTCGAAATAGCGCAGTTCATACGCTTCTGCGCATTTTCGATGCCTATGGGCAGCAGCTATCCCCAAAAGCGTGGCGGCTGTGCCTAAACATGGTCCTCTTCAAGATGGCCGAGGGAATTGAGACCCCTCTCCTCCAAGCTAAGAATAATCGGAGCAATACAAAATCCGATGACTTCAAGGCGTGGGTGGACACGACTGTGGTGATGATCAAGGGTTTGTCAAATCTGATCACGAATTTCTTCGAGACTCTTGTACACGACGAGAAGTTTGATCAATCATGGAAGCGACTTTTGAAGTACTTGCAAAGTCTGATTGACTTGCATATTTTGGATTTCAGCGAAGCAACATTTTCTAGCCTCTCAGCAGTTCTCGTTCGCGTGCAGGATGGAGCCGAACTTAGCAACGATGCTCTTGAGTGTGCGTGGCTTCTTTGGGCAAACGGACACCCTTCTGGCGATGAGAAGACGCTTGACTTGGATCAACCTAACCAGGATGCGGCTTTGGCCTATCTACATACATTCCAGCAGGTCTATCGCCTTTACAAAGACCAGCTGACCACAAAGCACATTGAAAAGGTCCTTCATCACCTCAGCTTGCTTGTGTGGAACTCGGTCTCCCCGCGCTACTCTCCAGATATCGATCGACCCTCGGGCCTGCAAGCGCTAGTCATTGATTGTCTCAAAATGCTCTGCCTGGAAAAAGAGGACTCCCAGCCGGATATTCTCTTGTGTCTTGCCGAGCTATCTGATTCAGCACTATCAAAATGGAGCCCCGGCAGCGATACTCGAAGACCAGCGTTCGTGGCCTTCTCGAAACGCACCATCGATCTTGTCAGCTGGTACATTACCGAATTCGGCATCAAGCAAGACGTCTTCACGAATGGTGCTCTTGCAAAATCCCTCGAACACCTTAGTGCTCCAATTGCGCAAAAGTACACATGGCAAGGGAAGGACCGCGAGCCGTTCCTCTGGCAAAAAGCCACAACGGTATCCCTAAACGTCCTCCAAGTCGCAGTCCCCTACGTGGAAAAGCAATACACGGAGACAAACGAGTTCGAAACATCCCAGTTCTGGCAACGCATCGTCGACATCACAAATGGAATAGTTTCCGCCCGCGGCTTCCAAGCCCAACAACTCCCCAACGCCCGAATCACCGCAGACGAAGCGTTCGACACTAAAGCCTTTACCCGTTTGAAGACTCTCATCCTCCCATCCCTCGGAGCAGCAGCAATTCCAGACGCCGTCCGCCGCAATTTCGCCCGCGCTCTCTTCAACTCCTCCTTCATCTACGCCCCCCTCCGCTTCGACCTACCTAGCGGCCTCGAAGACGCACCCCTACAGGACTTCTACACCGTTCGCCCCGGCCGGACCTTCGCCCCACCGCCAACCATGCGCCCGGAAATAGCCTACGTCCTCATAGACACGCTTTTCGAGCTCGCCGCATACTCGCAAGCTAAGACCGAGACAAAAACCGACGCCTCATTTCCGCAGACTCTGCTCGCCCGCTCGATCTCGCCTTACCTCCTCCTGCGCTGCGCGGTCTCGCTCAAGTCTTACATCGCAGACCAGCCGCTGCGCGGCTTGATGCCCCAGCCCACGCCTGCACGTAAAGCCCTGCTCCATCTGCTGCTCCGCATGGTCGAGCTGAAGAGTGAGCCGTCGGCTATCCCGAACCCGCCTTCGCTGAAGACCGTCTCAGTTGTCGAGGACGGGGATGCGGAAGAGAACCACTATCGGAAACATCTCGAGTGGATTTATCCGTTGGTTGTGCGCGCTGTGCAGGTCGCTGGCAAAGAGCGTGATGATGGACAGATTCTCCAAGCACTGGGAAAGGTGTTGCAGGAGATTGGTCGGTTTGAGTATTAGAGCTAGAGCTTAGTTGTGGACGAAGTATGACTCGGTTGGGTGTGTACTATGTATTATGGCGGTCAAAGCAGTTTTTTTTCTAGCTTTATACTCTAGACTCAAGATTCTCCCGGACTAGCACACCAGAAAGGGAGATATTCTACAATTGAATCTAAGATGAGGTTCGATTTCAAATGGGGCTTGGCACGAATGTAGGCAGAGTAAAGTATACTACAGAGTGATATCGTGACATAACCGTGAGACAGGACCAACGGACACAAAAGGAATAGTGAGTAGTAGAGGAGTTAGGGGAAATTGAGATCGGAGACAAGAGGCGGGTATAGAAGGACAGATCCGCAGGTACCAAGAGGCTGTAAGAAAGACGCGAGGGATAACGAGAATAGAACAAGATAGTCTATGCTGCGGGCGCGGGAACAGGCTGAGGCTCCTGTCGAAGCGGCGCGGTGACTTCTCTGCCGGGTCCAGCGGTAGCAGAGCCCGGTGGAAGGGCGGGCTGCTGGCGCTGTTGCTCGAGGAGCATCTGCTGCTGGATCTGCTGCTGTTGCGCGATCTGGGCGTTCGGGGCGATCTCGGGGGCTTGGCGGTAGAGCGCAATTTCGGATTGTTTGAAGTAGCGGCGGGCATCTGTTGTTTGGGTTAGTTTGAGACATTGAGATTGTAGGCCAATGATGTATCAGAATGGGAATAGTGTATGGTAAATTGTATCAGTGGAGTTGGCAGGGCCATAAATGGTTTAGCGTGGGGGTGTCGGGAATTGGGGGCCTCGGATGCAAGTCGGCAACAAAATGATGCAACTCGGGCCGACTTGGATGGTTGTGTTGGGTAAATTCAATTGCCGACGGCTATTGCTTGCATCTTGCCTGTCTCTGCACCCCGCATTCTGGGATGCGTCATGGACAATGGTTTGGAGATTGCCAAGGATAGGAAAGAACGGAGAAAGAATGGGGTAATTGGTGCATACCTTCGTCAATCAGTACGAGACTGAGATAGTACCTTGTCGAGTACTTCTTGTTAACGTCGCGGAATGTCGGTGTCAAGTCAAATCCGCCAAGGAACAGACGGATTGGAATGGTTTCACCTATTGAAAGTCAGCTACGCTCAAGATTATCACAAGCTTCCCAATGATCGCGAGAATCGTTAAGGCCGTGGGTGTGGTCGTTGCGGGATCCAAAGTTTTCGAGATATTCACTAACCTCTCGATGGCGAACCGTCCATAATCTGCACGCAAGTTAGCATTCTTATGGTCTGCATTTCATACCCCAATATCACATCAAGTGTGTTGAATGAACCACATACCTCAAAGCGCACCAAGGTCTCACTCTCGTTATATTGATTTGGCGGGGACCCCGTCGTCTCCCGCCGAATGATAGACAATTCCATATGTTTGATCTTGAGCCGCACGAGCAAGAAATAGATACGGCCAACAATCACATCCTTGAGATGATACTTGGATTTGGAGTATTCGAATTCGATATGCAGGCAGTCCTCGATACCGACGTCCATCTTGATGGGGCTGTTATTCTCAGGTGGCATGCGGTACGAGTACACCCACAAGTCCTTCTCCCGAATGACGTCCGCCATGCGCCGCGAGACGGTCACCTTGACAAAGTAGCGCAGCTTGACGTTGATACCATTGTAAGACTCGTATTGCTTTTCGACGTTCTTGAAATTGAAGGGGAAGGTCTGCGGGTGAAGCAGCTCGCCGGGCGCGGCGAGCTCCTGGACCAGGGAAAGGAATTCATAATGGTTGCCTCGATCGTAGAACATCTCTGTATTCCGAAATAGAAAGGCGTTAGCGGCTAGTCTGCGATGGCGAATGCAGCTGGGAGAGGCTGGGTGGGAGGTCCGACGCACCAATCGTGCCAATAAATTGCACCTTGATCCCCGTGTGTTCCAGTCGCTTGCCATCCTTCGGTCTGATAGTCACGGCACCCTTGACGGACTCGCCGTCCATGTACAGAGGGACCCGCTCGCGGCGGCCCTTGTCGAGCTTGACGTCGACGGTCTGGCGCTCATCGAGGTCTTCGAGGACCACATCGATGTCGACCGGCGTGGAGAAGAAGAGGGAAGCCATAGTGGAGGTAATTGAGGCTGCAGCTATCGAGACCCGAACCAATAAGTCGGAGCTTTGATGATCTGGAGCTGTCGCGGTGGCCTGGAGATGGCTTATGTAATACCGCCTCCCCGCCCCGCCCCCATGAACTGATATTCGACATGTTTTGTATACAACTGTGATTGCGGTATAAGATTTGAATCAAGAACTACATACGGTATTTGATACTCTTTTCATATTTTGCCCGACTTGGTCTCCTCTGGTGTTAGTTCTAGAACCAACAGCGAATGTCATACCACTGATCTACAACTACCCGTTTGGACTTGGGACTCCGTGGGCTGTTTAGACATGTCAGATCCACTGACAGGGCCTCGCTCGACATCTCCTACCGATTGGACATGAAAGCTCGTCTTCGCTGTGTTTCCAAAGTCCAAATATAAATTAGCCATACGGATCAGGGCTCAACACACCCTCTAAACTACGCTGGATAAGCAGGAGGGTCGGATATGTCGGAATTCGCTTCCCGTCACAGGTCAGCTTCCCTCATGACCATCCACATAACCAACGGAAACCCTCTCTAGTCCAAGCAAAGATCCGATTCGTTTACCCCGGGAAGTTCCTGTCTTCCCCGGATTCTGAAGGGGGGGAGAATCAACAGTCTGGCCATGCTTACCACACACATCAGGCACACCAGGGTATAGTCGGTGTGACTTTAGGGAATCATCATGCATATTCGGCTTATGTTTTCGTGTGTTTCCAAGTTGTCTCCTATCGGATGAGACTGTATTCTCCGAAATGTTTGTCTCTCATGTGTTCCACGTGATTGAGTATCGGCAATCTATGTAAGGAGATCAGGTGGATCAGCGAATCTCCCAGAGTGTGGGGGGCCGTCTTTCGGTGTTGAAATACTCGGAGTGTTGTTCGGCACGGGACAGGTAGTGAGAGATAAAGAACCTGGAAATGACGCAGAGAGTGGTGAGACAAAGAGACAATACAAAATCCCACTCCAAGTTAGGGAAAGGGAAAGGGAAAATGACTTGAATCTGAACTGTCGGTGTCTTTCTAGCGTGGGGGTGAGTTACGGTAATACCAAATACTGTGACATCATGAGGAGACTTGCCTCATTTGGTAGTATTTTATGAGTGTATGCAGTCATAGCCCAAGAGTTTATAGCAAAGTATAAGTAGTTAGGAGTAGTTATATATAATCTTATAGCCCTAAACTTGAACCTGGACGGCTATTGAGGGTAAAGACAAAGAAGGTTGAAGAAATCTTAACCTAACCCCTAATCCCCCCAATCGCCCCCTAATCCTAACCCCAAACATATAAGAACCAATAACCGTACAAAGGGGGTCTCCCCCCACTCGGCTTCTGGAATGTTTTCTTACCCGACCCACTGTGATACAATATAAGTATTTAGAAAAGTAGGCTCGCGCTTTTATTTCTAAACTTTTATTTCCGAATCAAAATCCCATAGACCTGCGTGTATCACTACATCGTCATATCTCCACTCTGACCCAAGCTATTACACTGGACCCAAATCCAAAAGAGACATTTCTCCATTTCTCCCAAAACCGAACATCAATTACTTTTCTTTCCTCTCTACAACATGCTTTCCGCAGGAGAACGACCTCAGCCTCCCTACGCTTCCACCATAGTAGATTCTACCGTGAGCAAAGCGCGCATCATGCCGGACCTCGCCGCCAACGGAACCAACGGAGTCACTTCCTCCACACCCCCCAAACCCACGGAACTGCAACATATCTGGATCGTGACCGGCCCAGCAGGGTGCGGAAAGAGCACCGTCGGTAACGTCCTACGCACCGAGCTAGGCATACCCTTCCTAGAAGGTGACGACGTGAGTACCCAAATATACCCCGGGCCGGAAGGCACCCAACACCCAACACCCAATCCCAAAAAGCATCCAATTGCGCCCAAACCCTACCCCCCCAAAGATATACAGCCACATAACTAACAAACACCCAGTACCACCCCGCAGCAAACAAAGACAAAATGGGCCAAGGCATCCCACTCACCGATGAGGACCGCTGGGACTGGCTGATCTCCCTGCGCCAAGCAGCAATCGATGCGCTTTCCCCCTCAGAAGCGAATAACTTCCACCCACCCGCCGGCGTGGTGGTAGCCTGCTCCGCACTGAAGCAGAAGTACCGGGATGTGATGCGCGTTGCTGCATACGGCTCGCCCTCGGTGCAGATCCACTTCGTCTACCTCAAGCTCAATGAGGAGGTGTTGATACAGCGTATCACACAACGCCAATCACACTACATGAAGAGCGGCATGGTGCATTCGCAGCTTGCTGCGCTTGAGGAGCCTAAGGGCGAGTGGGATGCTATCACTATCGATGTTGAGGGGACGATGGAGGAGGTGCAGCGCAATGTTATTGATGCTGTTGTTGAGAAGCTTGCTGAGTATAAGTGATTTTCTTTTTGTGTCTTTCTGTGGATTGATCAGAGTGAGTTCACTTCGTGTACTTGATGTCGGTGATGTGTCATTGCCGTGCGAAAATGGGTACGATATATGCATGGAGGATTGTTTAGCATTTTGTTTCTGTTTCTGTTTATTGTTGATTTGGTGATTCCTCCCAATGGTGTTTGGTGTTTTGGCCGGCTTGGCTATGTCACCGGTCTGTTTTAAATCTGGCGTTCTTGAAGCCCGAACCTTGAGCTTTTATCTGCTGTTTTGAAATATCAAATGTCTGACTTGGCAGGCTTCGCGATATCCTTTGTTTTGGTGGAATTTTCTCGTATTAATCAACTTGATATATTTTTATCTTCACGTTTTCTCTATACAATGTACTAAGAAGCTCAATCTATATTATATTGGAGCTAGAAAACTAGATAAACCAAGCAATGTCTTAAGATGTACCCATAATTTGTTATTTAGATACAACTAAGTACTTTATCAAGAGGTGACCTATCTAATTCACCTGAGATTTAGAAGCATAAGCTCGGGCGATTCAACTAAGTCCTTGACCCTGTTACCCATCCTCGCCATTGTCGCACCATCAATGACACGGTGGTCCGCACTCCAACTGAAGTTAACCATATCCCCGCGTGTAACCTGTCCATCCTCATCAAAGATCGGCACAGCTCTAGACCTACCCACGCCAAGAATAGCCACTTCCGTTGGCACAATCACCGGAGCCACGTATGTGCCCCCGATATTGCCAATATTCGACACAGTGATAGTACCACCACTGAGATCGGCAGACGTCAGCTTGCCGGCGTTACCCAGGGCACTTAGCCGTGTGATCTCAGAAGCAATGTCGAAGATCGAGCGGCTGGCGACATCCTTGATGTTCGGAACAATCAGACCATTCGGCGTATCCATAGCAATCCCGATATTGTGCTTGGCACGCATGACTAGCTTGGGCTTTGTGGGGTCTGTAGTATCGACTTTGGAGTTGAGGATTGGGAACTCGGTCAGGGCCTGGGAGACGGCCTTGACGACGAAAGGGAGGAAGGTGATTTTGGTAGGATCGCGTTTGTCGCTGGCAAGTTTCTTGCGGATGGCGGTGATGTCATTGACCTTTAGTTCGTCTGCGTAGAGGAAGTGTGGGATGTTCAGGGATTTGGTCATTGTCTTGAACATCTGTGATTGGATCGGGGTGAGGTTGACAATTGACTCTGCTTGCCGTGTGTCTGGTGTGACGGAGACTGGGGCGGACACTGATGTTGGGACTGGAGAATCTCTCTCTGCGACAAACTTCAGTACATCTTCTTTCATCACCCGCCCGTCTTTGCCGGTTCCGTTGATGTCGAGGATGTTCACGCCATGGTTCTTCAATAGACCGCGTACGGCGGGGACTGCAAGGGATGCATGCTTTGTCTTGGGTGTCTCCTCCAGAACTTTGATAGGAGGAGGAGTTATTAGAGAGGACTCGGCTGCCTGAGTTGTAGGTATGGGTTCAGAGACCGGAGTAGGTTCAGATGGCGCTGCCCTTGATTCGGGCGGCGGGTTATCATCGGGGTATTTTCCATCCGCAACTTCAATGTCGCAGAGTGCCTGCCAAAGCCGATCAGTATAGTAATTGTAGTGTGGGCATTGGTGGGCAAGAGTGAAGGTAGTACACACCCTTCCCGTAGGCACTGTATCATCTGTCTCAAAATGTAGTTTCTTGATAACGCCCTCGTATCTCGAAGTAATCTGGGCTTGTTAGCCATTAACCCAGAATATGGGAAGAAAGGAGGCACCACTCACATCATCGACAGCTTTATCCGACTGGTATTGGCATAAAGGCTTCCATTCCTCAATATGAGCCCCTTCTTCCACGTACCATTGAATGATCTGGACTTCCGTGATGCCTAGTAATTGTAAGTGAATAAATTGAGGAATGAGATAGGGATAAGGTATAAATTACCCTCGCCGACATCCTTTAGAACTTGTGACTTGATCCCCCATAGCAGAGAGCTGGCATGGAATCTCCGGGACAAGAGCGGAGGTAGGGTGGAGCGAATGCGGAGTCGATTCTGGGGTAGACAAGGCCTGAAGTTGCGGGCAGTGAGTCCCCCGTTGCGGCTGAAACTCATGATAAAAAGAGCACGGCGATGGAAACTAATTCAAAAGATGTTTTTTTGAAATTCCTAAAGAGAAAAGGAGCATTGTGTCTGTTTTATTTGGTCCTCGAACATCGACTGTTCTGCCCGCACGCCGACGCTAACCGACGCTACCCACGTGATCTCCCCGCATCTATGCAAGTATACAAGTATGGGGAAGTATATGGCCCTGACATTGTGGTCTTATTTCTTTGTTTCTTTTCAAATAGCTATGCAATTCTTGCTGTTTTTCTCTTTTGAAAAGCGTCAATTGGGGAGTGTAAAGCAGATACATGCCCCACAGGTAATACATGGATAGCTGGGCAATATAAGATGAAGCAGACCAAGGAGCAGAGCTCAAAGGGCAGCTATATGCTATTAGTGGAGGTAGTTAAAGTACAATTTATCTATTACAGACAAGGAAATTCGGTCTACTTAACTATAGGTCAATGTAGTAGGTCAGAATCTTCCCTGGATGGCTGAGTGGGTGAGAGACACAAGGCCATCTGATTACTGGGTGAAACAATGATCACGGGTGATACCGCATTGGGAAGCTCAGTAATGGTAAAACTGGTGAGGGTTTCGATCCTGCGTCAGGAGTAATTGGGATACAGATCATCTTTTTTTAATTCTTCATCTTTCCTTTTGCTTGACAAGTAAAGAGACCCGTATAAGACCATTATCCCGTCACTCTCTCTCCTTCTATCAAGTGAAAAGTCACCTTCCCCACCACATCAGGCTGCTGCCAATGCTCTGGCACTCTTGATATAATGATATAGGTGTAACGTTGCCGATATGTGATCCCCGAGGTCAACTGTTGTCTATCCCGTTATATGCAGGTACCGCCACTTTCAGATCTCCACCCAGGACGCTATGCTACCCAAAATTGAGCTCGGATAAATATAGGGTTACAATGCCGTTATTTGCCATGCCCGATGGAGAATCACAAGGGTGTATCCATCATTATTATCAGATTCAACTTGTCCCTCTCAGTTACCCGAATCCGGGTTCGGTCCTCGGTCATACCAATGCTCCACTGCAATGATCCACATTACTGTACTTCTGCAAGGAACAAGACAATATCGGAGCCTGCCCGAATTATGTCCGCGTGTCAGAGGTGGAGACGACATCAAAATGATCGTCACAGCCTTAACTCAATACAGAAATTGAGGCCGACTCTGCAAGCCCCGAAATCCACTATGCCAGGAGACACCGAGACAACAGATAACGAGGTACATTTGCTACATAAACATTTAATACGTTTCAAGCTATAGCCTTGCCAAGCGTACCAAGCATGCTACATCATAAGGTACGTAGGTCGATTTTGCCGGTGAAGAAGCTTACCTAGGTATAAAAGCATCCTCGGTCCCTCAACTCCTAGCCTTGTGCTTCGAGATTCCAATCACTTCAATCTTCTTTTCGCGGTGATCCAACCATTATGGCTCCCCTGACCAAGACTTTGGCCTCACTGGCCCTGGGTGCTGCTGTCGCCCAAGCCCAGCTCTGGGACAAGGTCATCCAAACCTCCTATGGCCCCGTCGAGGGATTCCAATACTTTAACCAGTCCACTCTGGATAAGTACTTCGATGGTGCCGAGTCCAACGTCGCCGCTTTCTTGGGTATTCCTTTCGCTGCCGATACAGGATATCAGAACCGGTGGAAGGCACCGCAGCCCCGCGAATCATGGAACAAGACCTTGAAGGCCACGGACTTTGGCCCTGCCTGTCCTAGTGCCTCGGCTTCCGACATTAGCGAAGACTGCCTTAGTCTCAACATCTGGACTAACGCTGAGACCTCTGATGCCAAACTTCCTGTCATGGTTTGGAACCAGGGTTCCGACGAAACCAGCAATAACGAGTGGTGGTACGGTGGTGGCATGGCCTTGAAGGATGTGATTCTCATCACCTTCAACCGCCGTGACGATGCGTTCGGATATCTCGCTGCCCCTGAGCTGAATGAAGAAGGCTACAAGCTTACTGGCCACAAGACTTCTGGCAACTACGGCGTTCTGGATCAACTGGAAGTTCTCAAGTGGGTGCAGAAGAACATTGCCAAATTTGGTGGTGATCCCGATCGCGTCACTGTTGCTGGTCAGTCTTTCGGCTCTTCTCAAGTCTACCATGCAGTCAATAGTCCTCTCTTTACGGGCTACTTCCACGGTGGTATCTCCCAGTCCGGGATTCGATACCCCTACGATACCATGCTGGCTGGCCTCGCCACCTCGTATGTTAACATGTCTACTGCTATCTCCAATGGCGCTAGCTACATCAAGGCCCACAACGTTTCTACAATTGAGGAGATGCGCACGCTATCTATGGAGAGTCTACTCGTTGGTTCCTCGGACCGCGTCACCAACAGCTCCATTTGGTGGGTCACCGCACTCTCTGCCGGGTATCCTCTGATCTTCAAGCCCGTTTTGGACGACTACGTGCTTCCATCCAAGTACATCGAAACCCTGATCAACGGCCCTGCCAACGATGTTCCCGTGATTACTGGTAACACAAAGGACGAATCTGGTGCCTCTCCCAACACTGACTACACCGTCGACGAGTACGAGTACTACTGTGGACTCAAGTACGGCAACCTCTCCACCGAATACTTCAAGCTCTACCCCGACCAAAACAACGATACCATTGCCTCTCAGGCCTGGAACGCTGCTGCCCGTGATCTCTCTCTTGTCGGCTCGTGGGCCTATGCCACTGACTGGTACAAGTCTGCCACTGCGAACTTCTACACCTACTACTGGACCCATGCGCCCCCAAGCCAGAACCAAGGTGCCTTCCATCAATCTGAGATCATGTATGCGCTCGGTGCTCTCTATGCCAATTCCGATACGTACGCTTTCACCGAGATCGACTTTGAGATCCAGGAGAAGATGTCGTCCTACTGGGCCAACTTTGCGAAGACCCTCAACCCCAACAATGGCGGCTCCTACAATGGTAGCAAGTCTTTGCCGCACTGGAGTCCTAACAGTGCCGATGGTACTCAGGTTGTCATGGAACTCGGTAACCAGTTCAAAAATGTGCCCATTGCGAAGCCAAAGCAGGTGGAGTTTATCATGGACTACTTCCACCAGCAGGTTCCATACTAGAGGTGTTTCCCTTTGGATTGAAAAGTTCTTTAACAGACATTCAGGGACCCGCAATGGTTCAATAAATGCATAAATGCATGTACTATGTAAGTATGTACAGATGTAGTCAATATATACTATGTTTTTTGTTGAAGGAAGATCCATGGTATGCATCAACCGGACCAAGGTTATTAAGTCGATGACCTCAACTTGGAATAACCCTTTGGTCTAGAGGATATTGACAACATTAAACTTTCCTCTCATTGTATAAGATACCCAGACAGAATGGCTTCGATTCAAGCATGTGATGAAATTAATGCCGTGTACGATTTGTCCGATGTACGGAGTAAGGGGATACTCGGCCCAGATCGCCAGGGCCGAGCTAGGCGCGACACTAATTGCCTGCATCATACACCGTACTCCATACTCCATACAGATCTTGAAAATCTCCGCTCTGTCTCGCAATCGGGATGTCCTCGCGAATCAGCTTCACGCGCCAAGAACAAGGGGTCCCCTATCGGAGATCGTCCGCTGAACCCCAGTGGAGGGGTAACCCACTTGGATCTCAGCTCTCCAGGCAGCCGATTTCGATCCATCTTGAGAAAAACCTTTTGCACAGGGACTCGCGCTGATCTCAATTTCAATTCTCCAAATTGCCAATTCACCATGGTTGCCGAGCACCTCACTATCCGCAACAACACCTCCACTCCAATTGTCCTGAAGCGCATTGAGCGCTTCCCGGCACCGGAGAAGGATGGGTTCCATGCCTTCAGCACAATGGCCAGGAACATCACCCAGGTCCTGACCAACCAAACCCGCAGCAACGAGGTCGCCTCCATCGAACAGGACAGCCGTCCCTTCGAGGAGAAGGATGTTGACATTCGCGTGGAGCCATTCGCAACGAAGACTACTGAGCTACGCTCCTGCATACACTCCGACAAGGAGCGTATGCGTCTAATCTTCGAGGCCGAAGACCAGAAATACCAGATCCAAGCCCCCGTCCCAACAACAGAGTCTGCAGAAATGAAAGCACTAAGCGACGACCCCAAACACCGCTTCACCGGCGTCTTCGTGATCCCAGAATCCTTCCTTGCAATCTTCTCCTCGGCAAATCTAAACGCCTGGATGCGCGAGCTCCGCGACGACACCCTCGTCTCTGCCCTGTCAATCCCAGGCACGCACAACTCACCCACATGCCACATCGCGCCGCCCTCAGTGCGCTGCCAGGCCGTGAGCCCGAAAGAGCAACTCGAGAACGGCGTTCGGTTCTTCGATATCCGCGTGCAGCCACAGTACCCCGACGACGCGGCGCGCGACGAGCTGATTCTCGTACACAGCGTGTTCCCCGTCTCGTTGACAGGAAACAAGTACTTCCGTGACCTGATGCGTGAAGTGGACGGGTTCCTCGAGCGCAACCCGTCCGAGACGCTGATCGTCTCTGTTAAGCGGGAGGGAACTGGTAACGCGACTGACGAGCAGCTTTCTCGTATCCTGCACGATCACTACGCTAAGGCTGGTAGTCGGTGGTGGGTGCGACCCAAGATCCCAACTTTGGGTGAGGCGCGTGGCAAGGTTATTCTGATGCGTCGGTTTAACTTGCAGCAGAATCTGAATGAGGAGCATGGTGGCAATGGCTGGGGTATTGATGCTGCTGCGTGGGAGGATAATACTCCCAATGCTACTTGTCCCAGTGGTCAGCTCTGCATTCAGGATTTCTATGAGGTTCTGGAGAGTATGAATATCGAGAAGAAGATCAAGTTCGTCTCGGAGCAGATCGATCGGGCTAGCTGTTGTCGCTATCCGTTTGGTGTTCAGGCTGATATGCATGCGACCAAGGCTTTCCCCTTTTACATCAATTTCTTGAGTGCTAGTAACTTCTGGAAGACGGGTACTTGGCCCGAGAAGGTTGCTGCTAAGGTTAACC